TAAAACTTGGACAATTTTCCCCTGCTTGAAAAGAAGTCAAATCCCACATATGTTAAGCTATGGTCACAACCCACCGTACATGCTTGTCGTCCGTACGTTTTTTGGGAGGCTACGTCTGCTACGTTTTTTCTGAAAACGTGGGGAAGGAGTGGAATCGACGCACGTCACTCGCACGGTTTCGCAAGGTGTAAGAGTGTGGTCTGCACGCCACGTCTGGCTGTGAGCGGTTGCGTGCATCGTACGTTGCGCAAGTGGTAAGTGAGTTGTACGTGCTTACAACGTACGACCTCTGTGCGATTGTAACTTTACCGTAAGGAGGCCGTACTCACACGTGCTTCTTCGGCACGGCACGTACGGGGCACGCGCGTCGCTCGTACTCGCACGCACGGGTGGTGAATCCGCAGACCGCACGTAGAAAAAGTTTTACATGCACTTAAACTTCTACGGCGTGTCTGCGTGCTCCCAAATCCACAGGATTCCGTATGGAGGCGGTACTCACCACACACGGATGTCCTACGTTTGCCCACGTTTTTGCACGTAGACAGCACGCAGAAGCACATATGGTAGGTTGTGACCGTAGCTTAATCGAGGTGTGGCTCTCCCAAGGAGGTGACTCTGCTAAAAAACAGAGATACGAACCGAGAACCTTTAGGTTCAGACAATGCTGAATTTTGACCATCTACACTAAATTTCCCCCCCCCCCACGCTATAATTTTGACCCCCTACGCTAAATTTCCCCCGTTACACATACAGCATAGGGACATTGTGACTGTATTTCTTTGTTCAAGAATGCCAAATCAAATGTGAAAAATTACCAATCAAGGATACATTGTACATACCTTATGTTATAGAAATAACATTTTTTTCCGTTTGGGTATCCCTCAAATGGCCCCTTTTTTTACTCAAATTTTTAAAAGCTCCGCACCGCGGAAGGAGGGCCCATCAACAGGCGGCCAGTACCACTACGCTAAAATTACATCCTAGCTAGAACCCTGTTGAAGGACTTATTTTGCATCCCTTTTGTCCCGTCATCTTCCTGAAGGACTAAAGCTGTAAAGGGAAGTATCCTCACGATGGACGCCTTGTTGGGACAGAGGAAGATCAACCTCCGAGCCCTGACAGACTTCTCCCAACTGTGAGTACTAGTAGTCTTCTCAGAGTCTGTTAATGTTACTGCATACATGTATATTAAGGCCACACCAATTTAAGTTCTTGATTAACGGATTTTAATGGAGTGGGCGGGCGAAAATATAAAAAAATAAAAACAGGCCTAGGCATCCTATTATGGCCCAAAATGGTACGATAGGAGCCATGAAGTCAACACACCAGGTTTGTTCAAATTTAAACATTGAATTTTTAACTTTTAATGATACCATTGCACTGAAAGATGGAATAACTGTAACAACTAGGAAAGAAAAGGACTGTTTTCAACTGTTCAGGGCAAAATATGAGCATGTTGCAGTTGATTCTGAATTTTTATTTTTATTTGCAAATCAGAAAACAATGAAGCGGGCGAATCCGTTAACCAAGAAATTAAATTGGTGTGGCCTAATACAACAGTGTTGGAAATACTTTTTGAGCCAAGTTGCCCAGTGTGCAACAACGGGCAAAAACTAACGGGCATCACAATTTTATGTTGCCCCCCCCCCCCCCCCCCCGACTTTTTGTGGATTTAAGTATAGAAGCTCATTTTATCTATTTATTAGACCTCACTGGACAGTCAATATACACACCACCACAGAGAACAGCCCATTATCACAAGACACAAGAAGCGACACAGTACCATGACTGAACATAACAAACTACACACAACAGTTACTGTACATTCCGAAATATTCACTATATAAACAATAAAAACATCACAGGTGCTGGTGTTCCCATTGTGTTGCTACTATACATTGTTTCAGCAATTAAAGGTACCGCAAACTCTCAAATTTTCACCATTCTGCAAAATTTAGGTACCAGGATATAAGAACTTTAATTTGTTTCACAGTGTACATGTATGGTAACTACAGAAAAGTACCCACCTCAACTGTCTCATGTTGCATTTTGTAGACACAATGACAAAAGACCATGGTAAAATTGTCAACCACAGAAAACACAAACAATACCAAGTACTGTACGAGAATACACCATGTCACTGTGACAATGTACACCTATAGTTTTAGTTGTTTTTGTTCCTACCCTGACAAAGATCGCCTCTGTCCCCTCCGTGGCCTGTAATTAAGTGACAAATTTAAAACATATCAGAGAAACATACAGGGGCACCTGTGTTCTGACAGCTCTATGTTCCAATTAGTTCATACAATTGGGGTTGTCAGAGAATATTGACTTGTGGGAACTTAGATGTGTGACAGAACATAGATGTGTGACATAACATAGGGGTGTAACTGAAAACAGTTCTGTCACACCCCTATGACATGTTCTGTCATAGGGGTGTGACAGAACATAGGGGTGTGACAGAACATAGGGGTGTGACAGAACATAGGGTGTGACAGAACATAGTTGTGTGACAGAACATAGATGTGTGACAGAACATAGATGTGTGACAGAACATAGAGGTGTGACAGAACACGGGTGTGACAGAACATATGGGAGTGTGACAGAACATAGGGTGTGACAGAACATAGGGGTGTGACAGAACATAGGGGTGTGACAGAACATAGAGGTGTGACAGAACATAGAGGTGTGACAGAACATAGGGGTGTGACAGAACATAGGGTGTGACAGAACATAGATGTGTGACAGAACAGCGGTGTGACAGAACATAGATGTGTGACAAAACACGGGTGTGACAGAACATAGGGGTGTGACAGAACATAGATGTGTGGCATAACATAGGGTGAGACAGAACATAGGGGTGTGACAGAACATAGAGGTGTGACAGAACATAGGGGTGTGACAGAACATAGGGGTGTAACATAACATAGGGGTGTGACATAACATAGGGGTGTGACAGAACATAGAGGTGTGACAGAACATAGGGGTGTGACAGAACATAGGGGTGTGACAGAACATAGAGGTGTGACATTCTGAACATAAGGGCGTGACAGAACATAGGGGTGTGACAGAACATAGGGGTGTCTAGAAATATGCATTGTATTAGCATACTAGCAGGTTAAAAACAAATTGAGAAAAATGGTCATATATCATTCTTATTTTTGGAAATAAGAATATATCTGTTTCTAATCATTAATCTGCTGCCTTTTGAAATCAAACTGAAAAAGTGAATTCATGAAGTCTCGTCTTGATTTCTGCATTCTTGCATTGCCTTGTCATCATTAATTAGTTACAGTTTCACATCAACTGGATTTACAAGAATATTGCTTGAACCAGTTCTAAGTCTAGTCCTTAGACTTCAAATTTTTTTCATGACAAAACCATACTATACCTGTATTACTATTAACCATATATACTATACCTGTATTGCTACTAAGTAGTAGATTGTTTAGGCTGGTCAATTCTTGCGTGGAGAACACTTCTTGTTACCAAGGACATTATACACAGTGTATAATGTCCTTGTTGTTACTGATTTATCCACAGGGAAACTATGACACAGCAAATATGCATTTCCAATGTATTGTATTGTACTACTAACTGTTTCAACCATGGATGATAACACTGCATATAAACCTCATTCCCCCTTCTATCACATAATTAAGTCTCAGTGAAAGTTTGCTGATTTAAGTAACTATGGTACTTACTGAATGTCCCAAAGTCAGAGTGGTGTCGCCTACACTACTGGCAGCAGTGTTAGTTTGCATGTCGGTCTCAACAACTAACAATGATACAAAAAAATCCCACCAATTTTACTGGTAACTACCAGCAATCTGTTTTGGCTGACTGGAATTTTCCTCCTACCCATAATATACAAATTACTGGTTTTAGTTGTTTCCACAGGGATATGGTGAGCTTCACTGGTATGAGGTCATTTTGTATGGAATGAGTTCACTGAAGACTTAACTAAAGGCAATGTCAATTTAATCAATCGGTTCTCAAATCTGCCTGCTTAATTTTTGTTCTGATTTGGTTAAAACAAGGAATCAAATCCAAAGTGGTTGACATATTTTGGCTCCAACAGTTTTGAAAAATCTGCCTTCCTAGTTGTTACAGTTTTTCCACCTGATTATACCGGTAAGTTGTCTTCATGGCTGACCTACATGTATATTGTACTAGCATTTCAGGCTATCATACATGTTGAACATGTAGGATGCCTTGGTCTGTTTTATTTGCCCTGTCACTTGAAGTAACAAATTGAATTGTTGTGGCCTTGAGTAATGTTTTCATTGAAGGTCTTTGGAAATGGGCTGGCTGGTGGCGGCCGGGGATTCAGAATTATGAATAACAAAAGATATTATTGTTTGCTTGTTATTATTGTTAAAAGCCAGGGTATAAGACATGTAGGACTGGTTTGCATAAAGGTATTCATGAGTACATTTTCTGTGCTGTATGTATCATTATCCTTTTCAAGAACACATTTGTACTTCAAACACTCGTCTATTAAACCAGCAATGATAGTGACAATACAATAGTGAAATATATAGTTATTTGTATAGGGCTCGAAATACTTGGTTCATGTGCACCTTAGTGCACCCAAAACTGGAGCTGTGCACCCAATTTTTTTTCTGTGGGTGTGTTCTTTCTAATATACAATTAGGTTTTGTTTAATGTGGTGCACCCCAAAAACTTTTTTGTGCACCTAATTTTTTAGGTTAATTCATTCCCAACTAGAAAGGCCAACATTTGCTTCGGAGCAAATGTAGGAATTTCACTCCATACCCTTCCCCAAACAAAAATGAGAGATTCTAAATAAATCATACTGCAATTATACAAGGACAAGCTGTTTGAATCTCGACAGGTATTTACAAAACTGGCACTTGGCAATTATCTCCCTTTTTTTTTACAAAGATACAACGACACGCACTTTAAATCTCGACAGCTTTACTTTACACTTTAACGAGATTGTAACTACTACTAACGGAAGCAAAATTTTCACGGCCTGAGAAAAATGGACATGTTTACGGAAGTATATATTCACGGTGGTGACAGTTGCAGGAAAAAGAAAGTCCGGGAATTATTTCCTAACTGTAATGATAAGTTCACAATACAGAGGTGACAGTGAAAACCGTGAACATTGACCCCCGCTTGCGTTGCGGTACAGTGAAAAAAAATCGGGAATTACAGCAATCAATTTACTGAGTATGTTTGCTTAGTTTCCAGATGTTTTGTACTTGTAGTTTTTAAATGAACGAAAACCGATGCGCGCACAGATGTTACTTTTGTGACAACATCAAAGTGATTTTGGTTTGTATGTTGAAAAAATACAAAAGACTAACATTCGAAGTTATTGAAATTCTTGAGTAAGAACAATCAGTTTTGGAATGTTAAAA